TTTTTGATTATTATTGTCATATCGATCATTACCATCTTTTTGATCATTTTTGTCAACTCGGCCATTATCATTTTTTTGATCATTTTTGTCATCTTGATTATTTTTATCATTTTTTTGATCATCTCTACCATTATTTGCATTGTCTCTATCGTGACATTTGTTATTTTCTATGTTACTTGGCATATTTAATAAAAGCTCTTCACAAACATCATTAGTTTTATTAAATTTATTTTCATCGTCTATAAAGCTGTCTTTGTCACCTTTATCTTTTTCATCGCTTGATGTTTTCTCATCAATCTCTAATTCAGTAAGTTGTGAAGCTACCAATTAGTTAAAATAATAATGAAAATCATTTTAATGCTTAATTGTACATAATTTTAAGATGTAGACATGTAATAACTTATAAATATTTAAATATCATGTTCATACCTAAAGTACCAATTTCGGTAGTTTTTTCATTATTAATATTTGGCATTTGAGGCAACAATTTGCTTGTAAAAATAAATTGTGACACCGAATATAATGAAGATGTATCATTTTCTAACGAGTTAACTGACTCAGATTCATTGTCAGCTTGAGTAATTTGTATACATATCGACGAGGATTTATCATGCAATAAAGCACTTTGCCACTCACGAAAAGTTTTTTCCAATTCGTAAGCATTTGGTCGTACAGTAGGATCTTGATCCCAGCATTGTTTAATCAAGTCAACTAATAATTTAGGCGTGTTCTCTGGAATTACAGGTCGTAATCCATTCAATACATCTAATAAAAGGTCATCTTTATTGTGATGATCGTGATATGATCGTTTACCCGAAATTACATCGCACATAACGATACTAAAAGCATATATATCTGATTTTTGTGTATACTCTTCTCCTTTCAAAACTTCTGGTGCAACATACGGCAAGACACCATACTTTTTTTTATCATTCGTATCTTGAGTATAATTTGCAGGTTTGCTTAATCCTAAATCTGCTATTAAACATATAACTCTGTGCTCCGATGAGTTATAGTCAGGTTCGAAAAGAATATTTCCGGGATGTAAATCTTGATGAATAAGCTCAGCTGTGTGAATGTCATTCAATCCTCTTGCAATATGTTTAAAAATTGAACATTTGTCTTCCCACTTTAATTTCGAAAAATTTCTGTCTAAATATCTTCGAAGACTCCCTTCTGATGCAAATTTCATCACGAGTATTAACTCATTTGTTTCGGGGTAGCGAGATATTCCGTAACAACTAATAACGCCACGACTAGTATTCACTTTGTGATGATTTTTGATCTATAATAACAAAGTTAGGCAAACAATTGTTATAATTTGTAAATATGATTATATTAATTTAATATTAACATATAATATTACTTCATTTATATACTCTTGACTTATGTATTGAGAGTGGTTCAGAATTTTTAGTGCTACTCTTATATCGCCTTCATGTCTTTTCCATCGCTTGTTTCTTTGATCCCAATTCAATATATAACCATCCGTCCAAATTGCTGAATGTATACGTGCAAATCCGCCTTCGTCGAAGTAATTAACATTTGTAAATTTCTTATAAGGTATCCATTCTAATACCTGATAACAAGATTCAGCTTTAAGCTGTGTTTCTCTTATGAATTTATCGATTATGTCGATGCCGCTCCATTTTTTAAATTTGTTTTTAAAGCGTTCGGCATTACATGTTTTACACCAATCGTGACTTGTACATTTATGTCCACAGGATTCACAATTTTCCATTTTGGATTCTCTATAAACAAGTCTTTAATGAAAATTTTACTCTAACTATATTGAATCTAGTGAATATGCTGTTGCATGGTGGACAAGTTTTATATTAGTATTGGATTTGAAAACATCACAAATTATTATATTTACTGTATAGAGCGGAAAAGTACTTGGTAAATTAATTTTCTATCAGATTTAACAAGTTATCAGCTATAACATATCGGTTTTAGGAGGTTCAACAAGCATTATATACTTACGCATGTGGTCCTAATTACGTTAGCAACGATTTCTCTTGCCTATTGTGTTAAATGAAAATCCAGAATGAATGCGGAATAAGTCTTAATTTACACATGAAATGGTTACATTGTGATACCTAGAGTTGCTGGTGAAACTGGTGAAACTTGGTGAAACTTGGTGAAACTGGTGACTATCTAAAATATGATTGGCTAT